CCTCCACATCCAACAGTCATCTTCAGGAGTCATTTTATCTGACCTATCAGCAGCCATTTAAAAGTAAATTAATCAAGGCATTGCAATCGCATAGATTGCGTGTACCTTGGAAATGACCTACAGTGAGCATATAGAAAAAATGACTTATAAAAATGATTTATAAAAAGTCATTTATAAAAAAATCATGTTTACTGTGTTAAAGCAATAAATAAAGATTCTTTTCAAAAAAAAAAATCACAAAATTCAAGAGGGCAGAACAGTTTCAAATGGATCAGTCTAGCTAAAGGCATAGCTGAGCCAAAGGCTGAGATAGAGAAGGACAGTAAAGGAAAGATCGACCTAGAACACGATGAATAATAGGGTACAGTTAAGACAGTCAGAAGGGACGAACAACCCATTCTTTGTGTAAGCTGGCTTCCTCTAGTTGGGGATTTCCTGCAAGGAACATAGATTCCTATCCGAAAAGGCACTAGATCTGAAGGATGATCTACTTGAAAGAGATCCATTTTTAATGCAGAGTGTCCATGTTCTTGAAACAAGGCCATCTCAATTCTGGCTTCAGAACTGGCCAGAATGGCTCATCCATAATCGTAACGGTTTCTTAAATTTACTTTCATCCAAAGAGTTTCAATATCTTTTAGCCAGTGAGAAGATTCAACTTACTCTCACGACATCCCTGAAAAAGACAGGGGTGGTGAGTTTTGTCTCCATTTTATGGATGGAGAACTGAGGCAAACTTCACTTGCCTGAAGTTCCTCCAAAAGCAGAATATAAAGACTGCAGCAGAGATCTCTTGATTCCTAACCCCTTATATCACTCAGGAGTAACAAATGTGGCAGCCACGCTGCCACTCACCCAACCTGTACCCACATGCCAAAGCTAAAAACACAGCACACTTTCTCGGTGAACCCAGAACCCAGACTCAACTGCAGAATCCTTTACAACACAACACTCGTAGCAGGTATTGCTAATAGACAGGTGCTGGCATAGGGGTGGGATGGGGGAAAGAGGTGAAAACCATTTATACCTATGCAAGGACAAGGCCCAGCAGAATAGAACAGGGTAAGAATTCACCAACTGTTTGCACTTATTTTAGGTGCAGGTTATACCAGATGTTGAAGATATCAAATGTAACCCAATTATTAAACATGTTATCATATGCATCCACAAAAACATTTTGTTAATATGTATAAAGTAAGGCACCTTTCATTTTAAAAGTATATATTCACATATACATTGTATGCTTTTGTACAGCACTAAAAAGATATGGGTAGGTATGATACCTGCAAAAGTTTCTGAGGGCAAAAAGTATAACTACTCACTGTGAGCATTTAGGTTTCCCACAAATAAGAATGAAGTTCGAATTAATGTTAACTAGGAAAATAAAAATAAATGTTAATATTAACTTAGCACCTACTAGGAATCTTTAGTTTTAATTCTCATTATTTTAATTTTACCAATGGGAAAACCGAGGCTGAGAGGGTTTTTGATCACAGAGTCAATGACTAGGTAGGACCAAAGTTAGAGAGTTCAAGTTCTAATAGCTATGCATACTTTCATCTCCAAATTATCTTGATAAGACTATATTTACAGGTTGTTTCCATACCGACACAATGACGCACACTATATTTAAAATTTCAAAAGCCCAGTATTTAAATTAAAAGATGATAGAATCCTTCCTTCTTGGGTTTTCATGGCTCTGTATAAACTTGGCCTTAGGTCTGATGTAAAAGTAAAAACAAAGATCACAATTAATATGCAGGTCTCAATCATTTTCTCCTTCAAGGAAGCAAGCGTTTACATAGATCAAAAGATAAGAGAATATCTACACATAAACACATAGTTCCTTGCGATTTTATGAGTAAGCTCTGGGATAGGAAGGACAAGCTCAAGTTCAGTTCAAGAAACAAGGACAAGGGCAAATTCAGTGCAAGAAACTGAAAGCAAGCCAGTATGGCTGGAATACAGAGACTCTCAATGTCACCTAGCAATGTTAGATGAGAATTTAAGTGAAAATGATTTAAGAAGACCAAGTCCTTCAGCCAAGATTTTATTATAAGTTCATGCATTTGGTGCCCCTTCCCTATCACCACCCTAGCTCCAAACAGCAATAATACAAAGTATAAACAGGGTTTCTTTTGTGTGTGTCTGATTAAAACAAAAACAAAAACAAAAAACCCAAAAAAACATTAAATCTCTCCGAGAATCAAATGCAAAATAGAAATGCAAAGGAAACTGTAGACAGAGGTGTCCAGGAGTCCTACTTCTATGGCCGAATGGGGCTAAAAATTGTCCTCAGGGAAAGGCTGGGACTTGAGCCAACCTTACTGCTGGAAAACAGAGAATGTGCAGAGGGAAGCCTCATAACACAATGAAAAGGGGCTTTAAAAATCTGCTTATTCAGAGAGGTGGCAGGAAGCAGACACAGCCTCACGACCAGGACCTGGCTGTACTGTGTGCTGACCTGGTGGTGTATCCTGGATACTCTACCAACAACGAGGAACAAAAGCTCCTCACTGCCAATGTAAGACTTGGTTCTGGACTGGGGTCCTCAGAAGTAGGAAGCAGGTAATAGCAAATCCCTAGAGAGGGAAAGGTGAGTGCAGAGAAAGAACATGGGGGAAGCAAAATCAAGATGACGCTTTAAACCACAATGTCAAAGCACATGAGAAAAACTAGCACTAAGAAAGATGACCAACAAAATCAACCTCAGACGTATCCCCTCCTGATGAAATGAAAAGAATGGAGTAACCTGAAAATGACTTTCAAACAAGGCTTTACAAACAAGTAGGTTATTGCACAGATTATCTTCAGTTATATTTTAACATTCCTCAAATTAAATTTCATAGATAAATCTTGAAGTTTTAAATGTTGAATTGTACTTTCCAGCGAAGTGACGGGAAACACGGTGTCATCACTGCATTAAGCATCTGACAGACTGCTGGATATGGCTGTGTTCCCTAACAGCCATGAAGTAAGAACTCCCAAGGTTCCTGCACCTCTGTGGCACCTTTAGAGGCCAAAAGACATTCTTGGGACGGTTTGTGATGGCAAAATGACACGGATTGCAAAAGTGGACAATAGACAGAAAAGCTAAGCCAATCCTGCAGCAGAACACTTTCCTTTGATATAAGGATGGGAAAGCAGACAGAATAAGATGGTCCCCCCAAATTAAACATGGACTTTATAACTAGATTCAGGCTGAAGTTGGAATAAATTTATGAAATTCCTCATCTTCTCTGCCACAGAGGAAAAAATAAGAGTTTACGTTTATAAAGCAACATTGCATGCATATTAAAGTAGGAGGTCCTACATATAAAAGATGACCACTTGATGATCAGCTGAATGACCAACTATTCTAAACCAGAAAAAAGTTGAGGCATCAGGCACATTTCTCTTACTTTTTATGATGTAACCTTAAAAAAAAAAAAAAAAAAAAAGAAGCTCTCTGAAAACCAAATCCACCAAATTCAAATAAGACACTAAAAAATCGTTTCTGTAGTGTTCGATCCTAGACTTTCACTACACTTGCTCCAATTCCTGTGGTGGCATAAGCAGTGGCTGCTTAAATGAGTCAGTTCTCTGCCTTTATCCAAGGAGGACACGGCAATAAGATGCTACTGGGTACAAAGTGTGGGAGTGAAATCATATATTCGGCTCTAACCCCAAGCAGAATTTTGGCTTAGGGAGAGGAACACCCCCATGGAAAGCTGACACATAGGGTGGGCAAAGCTACCCTTGTGAAACTGGAACTCCCAGGGAGCCATGACGCCCCAGCCAAGGACTAACTGTAGTCTTTTTTTTTTTTTTTTAATCCCAGAGGGTAGCCATGACAGTGACGAAAAAAACTCTTCTTCCTGACATGTCAGGGGAGATTCTTGAAAAACTCCCCAAATGTCAGGCCCATGGCAAAACCTAATTGTCTAGAACCATAGATTCTAATGACACGCAGCATTCTTGTGAGGTGGCATGCTCCCTGTCCCAAGCAACATTTGAATGGAGAAACCTGTGATGTGCCATAAAGGTGCGGACGAGCCTGAGGTGGGAGGTTGCTTGATTGTTGCTTCCACATCTGGGACCGAGGACTCTGGGCCAGTTCTCAGGCCAGAGCTCCCCATGGGGCAAAGGCAAGGCCGACACGGGCAGCAGATACTGAAAAGGCTCAGCAACCACTTCGGTAGTAAACCCAGAGCTTTTGGACACAGCCCACTCTCTCCCTACTTCACCGAAGGTGGAAGAATTATAATGATTAACGTGCATTTACTGCCATTGATCTAAAACCAGCAAATTCTGCCAACGCGGATTTATTAGAAAGGAAACCAAAAAACAACATATAATTAACCGACAGTTATTTAGAAGTTAATTATTCAGTCCTTTGTTTCACTTTTTTCTTCTTCCTACTTAATTCCTTTTGACCGTTTCTTTGTTGATTTGCTTCCCTCGTCCATTAGAGAAATAAATCAGGTGGGACTCAAAATGACTGACAGGGCAGGCCATGGTTGGAAGTTGTCACAGAAAGTCTGGTAAAGGAAAGGAAGAGGAGGGTGGGAGGATATTATAATCATTGGAAAAGTGATTTTTTTTTTTTTTTTTGGTTGGTAGGGTATAAAGGAGAGTGTGGGCTCTGGAGTCAAACAGACTGAGCTTTAGTTTCTTGTTCCGTCACTTACTAGCTAGCTGTCCCTGGGCAGATAACCCAATCTGTCTGACTCAGCTTCCTCATGGGGAAGATAGGGATATTAATATCTGCGTTGGAGGACAGTTACAAGGATTGAGTAAATAATGCAAAGAGCCAAATACAGTTCTTTCCATCTGGTAGACACTCAAGCTGCATTATTAAAATTATCTAAAATTTACTCTTCTCATATAATTAAGATATGACTGAAAGCAAATGCTCTTAAACTGAGAAGTAGGAGTTCCCAAGTAAATGTACACATTTTAATTTGCAAACTTCCTGATTTAATTTTGCATCTTAAAATCTGCATTGGTTAAAACTTTACCTGTCGACTTCCCTGCTTGGAGGAGCAGCTACTTGTGCTCCTTGAAGGGGAGACCAATTTTTGGGACACCCCAAGGTTCTTCTCATCACTCATCATGAGCAACAGGTCACGGGGCCTTGGTGCAGTCAAAATGCCATCAGAAGACACTGGAGTAGAGAGTATGGAGGTCTCAAGCAGACAGGTGGTTCAGCTCTTATCCAGTATGTTTTAAAAGCATTTTTGCACGATCCAGAGGAAATCCCTAAAACCAAAAGAAAAAAAAAAATAGAGAAAAGGTCAGAGGCATCAGACATCACCTAAAATTAGCTACTGATTGTCTAAAGGACACATTACAAAGCCACAAGGCTTAGCTACATCAGAGGCTATAAAGGAAAAGATGCTTTACACTCTCCTCTTATTGGAAATAATGTGTAGGTGGTTTTTCATGTAGCTTTGCAAAATGACATGAGAACACTATGCAGTAAGAAAATCTGAGTAGAGACAGATACAAAATCAGTACTATAAAAGCCATCCCAAACCACAGTGACATGCCACTTCATACTCACTATGATAGCTATAATCCAAAAAAACAACAACAAAAAAAGAAAAATAAGTTTTGAAAAAAACAGGAACCCTCAGGCTTTGTTGCTAGGGATATAAAATGGGCAACCATAGTTGAAAACAATTTGGCAGGTTTTTTTTTAAGTTAAATATAGAATTATCATATGATCTAGCAATTTTACTCCTTGGTATATACCCATAAGAACTGAAAACAGGTATTCAAACAAAAACTTGCACACAAATGTTCATAGCAATGCTATTCACAAGAGCCAAAGGTAGAAACAACCCAAATTACATCGACTGATGAACAGATAAACTACATATGGTATAAGCTATAGTCTGAATGTTTGCGCCCCTGCAAAATTCGTATGTTGAAATCCTAATGTCCAATGTGATGGTGTTAGGAGGTGGGGCCTCTGGTAGGTGCTTAGGTCCTGAGGGTGGGGCCTTCATGAATGGGATTCAAGCCCTTATAAAGGAGACCACACAGAGCTCCCTAGTCCCTTCTACCATGTGACGATATAATAGTGAGTCTGCAACCAAAGAAGGTCCTCCGACCAGGCTGACACCCTCACCTTGACCCTCTAGCCCCCAGAATTGTGAGAAATAAATTTATGTTGCTTATAAGCCACCGAGCCTGTGGTATTTTGTTAAAGCAGCCCAAAGGGACGAAGACAGCATATTCGTACAATGGAATATTATTCAAGAATTAAAAGAAATGAAGTACTGATACATGCTATAACACAGATGAACCTTGAAAATATTCTCCTAAGTGAAAGAAGCCAGACACAGAAGACTGCATATTGTACGCTTCTGCTTATGTAAACTATCAGAGTGGGCAAATCCATGGAGACAGAAGGCAATTAGTGGTTGCTGGGGGCTGGGGGAATTGGAGAATGAGATGTGACTAATTAATGACTATGGGGTTTCCTTTCAGGGAGATTAAAATGTTCTGGAACTAGATAATGGTGATAGTCGCACAATATTGTGAATGTACTAAATGTCACTGAATTATAAGTGGTTCAAAGGTGAATTTTTATGTGTATTTTACTATAATTTTTAAAAATATATTTTTGGGGGGTGGGATTGGGTGGGGGGTTTGTTCTACTAAAGGTTTTTGGAGACATAGGAAGATCAGGTGCCATAGGCGTAAAAAATAAAAAAATAAGAGATTGTGAGCTGACAAGGTCCTTGCAACCTGTGAGGTCAACCAAGGATTGCCTCGCCTAAAAAATAGAAAAAAAGAAATTAGCATGTCTTATGGCCAAGCAGGTGATAACAGCTACTGCCCCATCGCTGGGACCTAAGAGAACTGAGGAGCTGGATGAGAAAGAAAGACTCGGGAGGGAGCCCATCATACACCAGCTCTGAAGAAGTAACAACCCATTCCTTTCCACGGCACAGTACCAACCCCCAAGATGGCAAGGTGTCTGTGGTGGGCAAGGCGATAGACCAGGGCAGAGACAAGGACACCCCGTAGAGTAGTTAGCTGGTGTATGCCACCCCTGCAGCTTTTTAGGGGTGAGCCACTGCCTCCATCCACTGCCCTGAGTTAAAGGTGACTAATGTGTTTGATTTGGGCTTCAGAAGGCCAATTTATTTGACGTGCTAGTTTTAAATATATTCTACAACTTTCCCAAGCATATTAACATGAAAAAAATAAAAATCAATACACGCACACGGACACACATGTAATCCATTTGGTTCTTAGTGTTCACCAGTGTATTTTATTTTATTTTTAAAATTTATTTATTTAAATTAGTTTCAAGTATACAGTACATGGGTTAGACATCTATAGAGTTCACAAAACGATCCCCCCAATTGCTCCCTCCCACTCTTGGCCCCCACCCAGCCATCATATTAATGCTGACTGCATTCCCTCTGCTGTGCTCCCCATCCCCTGTGACCAACCATCAACCACCACTAACTCTTATTTTAAAAGAAGGATGTTATATAATCGTCCAGGAATGAGCTAGTTAGGTATTATGTCAAACTTTTGGTTAATTATTAAGTACTCAAATCTCCTTTGCCTTTCACTAACACTTAGTCCTTAAAAAATAAAAATGCTAAAGCCATAAACTAAAACCAAGAAAATGAAGAGAAATAAAACCTCAGAAAATAAGATTAAGGTATCTATGGTTATAGAACTCAATCCCCATGTTGCTTTTGTAGAACCCACCCCCAAATCTCTGTATTCATTATGTACTGGACTCAACAATAAACAAGACTAAAAGCAAACCAACAGCAGCCTCTTCATAAAATTAGCTTTACTTCTGGAGCATGACTAATTGTACCTGAAGTTAGAAGCAAATGCAATCTAGTTAAAAACTGCCACGAGAGGCTGTAAAGATATATGAATAGTTTGTTTAATAACAGTGTTGTCTGTTGCTGTTTGAAAAAGATACAGGGGAAAAAAACCTGATGGGAACCCCGGATGATGAAATGTGTGTGGGGGCAGCCATCACTATGACAACTGATTCCACAGTGGATTAGGAACACGAAAAAGGGTTTCTGTGTGTGCGGTACTTTTTTTTTTGAGGTTGAGATTCTGACAGTAAGTATTAGATGAGGTGGTGTGTGATACATGAAGAAGAAAGAGAAAAGAGCATTTGGACAATAAAATGAAAGCACAGAAATTCTGAAACTGAAAAATCAGAAACACCATCACCCTGTCATACAGACCATGGATAAAAGGGGTCATCTTTATCTTTTAACTCTGCCAATTTTCACTTCACGGGCAACGGCTACTGAGGCTCGGTCTAAGAGCAGACCAAATCCCATGCTCCTTTACAATGGTACTTAGAGTTGAGGCCTCTGCAAGTACCACTGACTGTGGACCCACCTCTGCCTATTTCTCTCCTTCAGAAAAAAGAAAGGGTAGAGAGTATTGTTGGTTGTGGGTCCTTGCTTTTTAGCACTCTGAATATTTCTTGCCAATCTTGCCATCCATAACGACAGGGATGGACCCAGAGGGTGTTATGCTGAGTGAAATAGATAAGACAGAGAAAGACAAAGGCCATATGATTTCATTTATATGTGGACTCTAAAAACCAAAATAAACAAACAAGCTAAACAAAAACGAACTCATAGATACAAGAACATTTTGAACGGAGGAGGATTAGGAAGATGGGGGAAGGTGACGGAAGGAATGAAGAATAGAAATTGCCAGTTAAAAATACATTCATGTGGATGTAAAGTACAGCATGGGGACTATAGTCAATAATATTGTAATAACTATGTATGCTGTCAGATGGGTGCTGGATTTATTGATCACTTCGTAAGTTATAGAAGTAACTAATCACTATGTTGTATTATAATATTGAAACTAGTATAATATGTCAACTGTAATTGAAATTTAAAAAATTATTTAGAAAAAAAGGAAAGGAAAGGAAAAAGACAGCGTGGGAATCCACAGTCCCTTCCCCACGGTCATCCCTGTGAGTGAGGAATTGTTTGTTGCCTAGGGGAAGAGCCGTTTCATCCCCTGAACCTCCCTGCCTCATCAGAAATTCTGTTAAATTACCAAGGGCAGCTTATAGGGCAAAAGAAGTCAAATTCTGGGGAAAAGATATGCTTAAAACAACGCAGAATACAGAATAAAGACAAGAGTGGCCCCAGGGCTAAGGTGGTCACATGGAATGTGGCAGCTATTGCTCCCAACCTAGACACGCCGGAAGGCTGGCCTGGGGGTAACGGAGGGAAGACCTTGAAGGAGGTCCCAAAGCAGAGGACCTCGACGAGGGAGTCACAGGGAAGGAAGCCTGGTGTCTTCTGTCCCATCTAGCTGACTTCACGGTGCTGACCTAGTAAAACGGTAAAGAGAAAGTCTCTAAGGGAGATAGATACCGACCGGGGGCCAGGCTGCCAGTTCAGGGGTGTCTGATGATGAGGTGGGTACAAATGAAGACCCTTGTGTGATTTCATCCCTCCCCGTGGCCCTTCCCACAGAAAACCTCTACCTCAAGGGGTTTATTGGTTTGAACAAAATATAATAGTTTCCCTGATCATTCACTATGAACAACTTAAGGACGATATTTTGTTTCCTCCCTTATTTTTTAAGGCATAACTTACATATAGTTAAGTGAACAAATCTTAAGGCACAGACGGCTCTATGAAATTTTACATTTGCAAATAGTGACACCACCACCACCCAGATCAAGAAATGCAGCATTTGCAGCCTCCCCAAAAGGTTCTCCATGCCCTGGCCACTGATCCGATTGGTAGGGGGCCAATCCTCCTGCTGACTGCTGTGGTACCTGTCTGGGGTAAGCCTCTCCTGCAAGGACTTGTTCACAGGCCCCAGGACAGAGCTGGGACCGCCCGGAGCTTACAGGAGCAGGTGGTATGACCACTCTTGTACCTTCTGCCTAATACAAGTATCTGATGTGTGATGGAATTCAGTCTGGGACTTGCTTCCAGTTCAACAAACCACCGGGTGGCCAAATCCAACAGATGGGGAAAAGCTGATGCATTTAGGTTGGTTCAAAAATGCCCTGCATGTGCCCCCGAGATGAACGAGGTCCTCCATCACCACTGCCACCCAGCTTGGGAAGCCGATGGTCAGGCCCACGTGGCAGGCAAACGTATGCCATCCTGGGGCTTAGGGAGAAGAGAACTCTGATTTCTACCAAGAACGGAGAAGAATAAATGACCAAGGTACTGCCAAGCATTTTGGAAACAAAGGCTGATTTCAAGATTTAT